GTTTGTGCCTATGGGCCGAATGGCAGTGCAGAGTACCCGGCCTTCTTGGATTCCCTGGGAAGGGTGCTGGAAAATGCCCCGACTGGGGACTCTGTTGTTCTACTGGGGGACTTCAACGCTCATGTGGGCAGCGACAGTGACACCTGGAGGGGCGTGATTGGGAGGAACAGCCCCCCCTATCTGAACCCGAGTGGTGTTCTGTTATTGGACTTCTGTGCTAGTCACAGTTTGTCCATAACAAACACCATGTTCAAGCATAAGGGTGTCCATCAGTGCACGTGGCACAGGACACCCTAGGCCGGAAGTTGATGATCGACTTTGTGGTTGTTTCATCTGACCTCCAATGACACAAGTTACCTGGATGTCAATAAGAGCTTTATGTGTGTAGCTCATCATCACTCTCTTTAACACAGTAAGCTAAGGAATGTAAACTGTTACTGTGTGGATTATAAAGTGTGACAGTCTGACAACATGTTGAGGCATGTGAACATCTGCCCAAACTAGCTACCTGTTTTAATGGGGCCCTGTCAATGTTTGCTGCTTTCTAATAAATATCATGTCACATTTATAAGAGAGAATTACCAGTAGGACTAGACAATAAATAGAATTAAATCATTTAAGTTGCCTTTTCATTTTTACACAATGTATAAAATGTCTACATCATGAAAATTGAGTTTTACAATTTGCACAGAAAGGTTACTTTTAGACAAAGGGACAGGTAATAGCTGCCCTGAGTCCCATCCCCATCATGTTGTCACCTCTGACATGCTGCAGTTTATGGCTCCTTTGTGACTCCAGGTAGATGGACGCCTCTGACTGTCCAGTTGTGTACAGTTTCACTTGTGAGCGGCACTGACCGAGAAACAATTCTGCTCACAGATCGATTTGTTTGGTAATGAAGTAGCAAAGCCACTGCAGTCGAATGAACAGCATGGAGATTCTTTGTCTGTCCCTATCTGTCGGGTACAGCAGCTAACGCTGTCTGTAGATATCACAATGATGTTCCAGTCCAGTTAAAACCACAAACGGGAACAGATGAGTTGGTGTGAACACTTGATCTGCACTGAAGCCGACTGTCCCAGTGGTACACAGTGCTCTGTTTAGCTGTTGTTTTATGGGATGCCCTGTGGGCTTTTTAGAAACATTGACACTGACAACAGCTACAAGTGCCCTCAGGCGTTTTACTTTACTAGGGTGTTTAACTGTTCCCTCCGTCCTGTAGGTGGCGCCGGCAGACGGCTTCTCAGACCTGGCAGTGCAGGTGATGACATCACCCTCCAAGAACTACATCCTATTTGTGATCGCGCTGAGTGTCTGCGTCCTCTTCCTGGTGGGGCTGCTGTGTGGTCGGATCACCAAGCAAGTGACAAGAGAACTAAAGGACCGGTAGAGAACAAGGACGGTGACGCTTCGGAAGACTTGCATCTTCCCGGATCTCCATCCTCTTCGTACTCTTCCTCTCTCAGATGCCCAGTCTATAACCAAGGTGCACAGTGCCAACACCAGTGTGCACATCGGGACCTCTTCCTCTGTTTAAAACTGTTTGGCTGCTGCTGCTGAATATTAGTGTCAAATGCACAACAGTCCCCAGCTCACAAAAACTTTTTATCTCCATTTGGGCATCTCCAAACTTCAAGAAGCTCTAATTGTCTGATTGGAGTGTTTTCCCTTGATGATTGTGTTTTTCCCCTCCAACAAATCTATTTCTCCCGAGGATGTTGCTTGGGGCCGGCTTCTTTTAAGTTTCTAAACAAGCGCTGTTCATGACTGTGACTGAGGGCTGCTTCTGAGGTTAGGCATGCTTTCCACTCATCAAGTCCTGATGCTTCGCATGATATTTAATCGAGACTGGAGTATGTAGAGCAACAGGAAATAGTTTTTTTTTCTACTGTAAGTGACTGAGGCTACCTGAATCGCACAAGGAGCAACCTGAAATCTTGAGGCAAACTTTGAAATCTGAGCTGTTCCTGTTGCTTTGAAACATTTTTCTCATCAACCATAAAGTCATATCCAGAATCCCGTCCAGCTCACCAGCTACAGCTGTCTACATCTGGACCAGTTCAGGCCCACTCTGCCTGTTACTGAAAACCCCCACTGACTAAAAATGAAGGTCAAGCTGGTCTCCCTTATCAGGAACATCGTGTACTTTTCTTTTATTTAAAACCTTTGATTAAATGCTAATGAAATCTTAAATCATTTTCGCATTCAATTTTTATGCCTAATTTATTGTTAAGGACCAAGTCTAATTTCAGTTGAGATTCAACTTTCTTTTGTGCACGTTTGAATGTTTTCTTTGGTCAACCATGCTAAACTTACCCACAGAGGTGATTCAGTGAAATCCACAGCAGGACAGACGGTGGAGCACAGCTGGGTGTTGTGAGGTGTGAAGGTTCAGATTACAGCACTGGAGACCAAAAGATTAGTTCTACCTTTAGATTGGAATTGTAATACTTTTACCACGACCTATTTAGTCCCTGTTGCCTTTAATGAACAACCTGTCTCACAACATGGGGAAGCTCCATTTTCCCTGGTTTGCTTTGTTTTCGACCTCCAGAGGTCTGATCGTTCATGTATAAATCGCATGCTGGAGGTCAGACTACACTGTCAAGCCTGCACTGAGCTGCTATCACACAAGATGCTTTCCCTCGGGCCTCATTCTCTCTGCAGGTTTTATTTTGTTTCTCCTCCAGTCCGGTGGTCTTATGTTTTATGTCTGTGTCCAGGGCCCCATCATCTCATAATCTGTGTATGCCTGTAGGATATTTGGTGTTGCAAATAGCAGCTATTTATTGATATTATTTGATATATGAATATTTTATTAGAGCATTCATTTGATGGGATTCATTTAGTACAGAGTGAACGATGTAACTGTTGATAGTGTACAGTTTATTATTCCCACAAACCAGGGCTTTAAATTTGACTCGACATATTTTTACCCATTTTACACACCTTAAAACTGTGCCTCCACCCCATGTTTAAAGAGTTCTAAACCCTGCCCAGGACATACCAAATTGTAATTTCTACATTTGTTTTTGTATAGATTAAACAAAGAAGACATTAGTTACTGAGCTTTAGCGATGTTGGTAGGTGTATATTTTAAGCCCAAGTAGGACTTAACCCATTTCCTGTCTCTGTGCTAGCTAAGCTAATCATCTCCTGGCTCCGACCGCCCAGCACCACACAGTTTGGTCCATCACCCTCAAGTGGGTGAATAAGTTAAGCAGCTGTAGGTGGTCTTGACTGAAGTCTGAGGCATTGAGCGGGGCCTGTCCAGTTGTGGTGATGATGATGATGTGGTGTCTGGATTGAATTTGCATATGACTGAATATCTTATTCAGGTAAATTCTAATTGCCTGATGCGTTAGTATGACTGTTGCTCAAACCTTGAGCTGACTAATATGAGATGTACACATCCATTTTCACAACCATATCATCTATGGCAGCAAAAACTCAACTGGGTCACCCCAAATGCAGCTGCAGACTTTCTATAAACACCAAAAACTGTCAGGGTACGAGTTTGTTCTCTTAACACAGATGTCCCATTTAACACAAGCAGGTATGGGGGGGGGGGAACTAACAAAAACAGACATTACAAAGGGTGTTTGGCTTAATGCTGATATGAAAAACACAATCCCATGAATCAATTGGCAAAACCAGGTTTAAAAAAATTCTTTGCTCAGTATTATACAGAGCCCTAAATGTATTACTGTTTTGCAGGCAAATGGCTTGAAACTCTAATTATACCAAGAAAAAAAAACAAAACAAATTTTACTTTTTTCTAGGTACTGAATGGTAAATTTTGAACTTGATGTACGTCACATCTGCAGCCCAGTTTGTTCACCAACATCAGCTGATTGGACAATGAGCCTCATTCAGTTTGTAAAATTAACAAGAACTTTGTTTAACAAATGTTTTGCAGCTTTTTGTTGTACATCATTATCCGTGAATGATTAAAAACACAGAACACCGTGACAAAGTTGAATAATGTGACATACACTATTTCCTGTACACTTACAAAAGTTAATGATGCTAAGTTAACATTGCAAATCATTTATGAGCAGGTTCTTGAAGGACTGTGTGAAAAAAGGAAAACGTCTTCTACGTGAAGGCCAAGTTGATCAATCGTCAGTTGAGGAAAAAAAAACCTTGATGTTTTGAGCTTTTCTAAATGGTTTTTATGTTCTTGTGTCTGCTGAAGTCAGATGTTGGGTCAGAGTGATTTGACAGGAAATAAAGACACCTGTTATAACCAGTTTTGCAAGTCTCTATGTGAACAAACATCAGTGTGCTGTCGTTTCTTTCTAGATTATGCCATGTTAAATGAAGATGGAACAAATTTATCATTGTGAGATTTGATTATGCTGTACAGATAAAATTTGTCAATTTAATAAAAATATCTGCAGATTTTCATACCTTTGCCTCAAACTGAATCCTTTTTTAATAGTGTTTTATCTTAAGTATCATTAACATTTCAGTATTTGTTTTAGCCAATATAAATTTCATTAGCAGAAACAGTCCATATCTTTATCTTAGTGAATGTAGCTGGTAAACTATTTGGCAAACTAAATTCAACAGAAAACAGATGATAGGTCATGTTTGTAAGCAGCAATCAAACCACAGCAGCTCCACATTAGATCGTTTTGTAGCCTTTGACTAGGGTTGTCTCTTGAAACATATTACACAATTATATAAACCAACACGTGCAACTAAGGAATATGAAAAAAATGGGGAAGGGGAGAAACAGCAACTGAGCTGGGAAGAGAAATAAAAAAATTTAAACAGTTAAAAGGTTAAACACTGTTGTTTAACTTAGGATTATGAGGATGGAGATGAGTGGGTGAACAGGCCAGTCAGTGGCACGAATCGGAGCAGAAACTCCAATGGGACTTTTACTACTCGATTATAGTGTCACGTGCAGAATAACATGATTACTACTGAATGACAACAATGAGGATAAAAGAAAAGTCTGAAAATTCCAACTGTAGAAGGCTTGTTTATTACTGCTTCCCACTTTATGTACTGTACATGTTCCAAGGCTCAAAGGAGCAGTGCAACAGCTTTAATTTCCCTATTATCGCTTATTATTTGCTATCTACTTGGATTGATCATAACCAACATTCAGAGCAGCAAAGCAGAGGATTCTTGCTCACATACAAGCTACAAATAAACATGAAAACCCCAAACCAGACAAAATATATCACTTATTTTAGATGTTTGAGTTGCATGCGCTATATGATCCTAGCACAGCAAAACAAGGAAATAATAAACCATCTTCCAACATTTACTGTAGATTAACCAAATCTAACAGTCAAACTATCCCTGCTTTAGTCAGTCTAGTTCAAATGAAGATTACTAAATTAAAGCTGAAATTGCTAAGTCATAAAGTAAAAATGCTAGTCTAAAAATCTTTCAAAAACAAGTAGCAACAGTCGCTGGGGTGGGGGGGGGGGTAAATCAAATACTGCCTGCACAATCCAAGTTAAAAAAATTTAAAGTCCACATGATCTATTAGTTTCCATTGGGATCAGCAGGTCATTACCCAGCAGACAGCTGTAATTCCTCAGACAGCAGGGTTTTTGTACAGATGAACCAAACTAGATTCAAATAGGCAGATGATGTTACCTACGCCAGGATGTTCCCCCAGTCTAAGCTAAGATAACTGGCTGTTTTCTTTAACCCTGTGAGATACGAGAGTGGTATCAATCTTCTCATGCATCTCTCTCTCTCCCTCTCCCTCCCTCTCTCCCTCTCTCGAGATATATATTTATATATAAAATGTGTGTGGATTTCCCAAAATATCAAACTATTTCTGTAAAAAGAAGTATTCTATGGGGTATGTTTGACTGACAGATGCTTCAGATGACCAGCCAGCCATGGTGGTTGCTCCTTGCTGCTCATCCCACCTCAGCTCCACTGGAGCTTTGTTTCCTTTGATTATAATGAGGATTTTCTGACTCTAGGAATCAAAAATGATTGGCAGCAAGCAGAAAACCAAACTCCTGGAAGAAATCGATGGGTGATGTTGCAGAACGTCTGTCCATGTTCTTCTACAGTCTGCTGTCTGTTCATGTTGGCAGGCCTCCTGAAAGTTCTCTTTCTGTCAAGCTTCTTTCAAACAACGTTGTTGATCTCAGGCTGAGTAAACAGCCTTTCATAACAAATGGAATTTTGCACTGACTTTCAAAAACGTAGCTCAAACAGGAAAAAAAACAAAACAAAACTCATGAGTTTTACAGTCAGTAACGAAAAACTACCTGCTTCCTCAGTCGGCATGTCAACATAGCAGCAGTAAAAGCTTTTGATAGATCCTGGCATCAAGTGTGGTCGTACCATTGGCTGGATGATCAAAGATGGCAGGCCATCAAGAACCGATGACCTGGACGTAGTTGGCAGGGTAGAGGCCAACCTGGCCGCTGCTCAGCTGTCCTTTACACCAGCCCTGCTCATCCTCCTCTCCCAGCTTCAGCAGCTGGTCGCCTGGAAGGAAGAGGGAAAGTCGGTTCATACGGTACTTTCTTGTTTCAGGATGCAATCTGTTCTTTAGATGGTTTTAGAAAATATTCTTAGTGCAAGACATTTGTTTTCATGTTTTAATAAAACAAAAGCTTTAGGTATCAAACTTTGCCAGAACTGACCTGCCCATGAATATATCAAGTAGGTAAAACTAGCTCCACCTTGGCCAACTACAACAGTAAAATGCTTCTTGCGAGTGAACGATGAGTTTGAAATCAGGTTACCCTATGATAATCCCTCGAGTTAAGATGAACCACAAAATAGCATGTGAGATATTCAGAGAGACATGAAAACATCCAGCAGATAAGATAAAAGCACTCAGGGTAGACTGCATTTCCAACACGAATACCTGTGTGAGAGTTTTTCAACTATTAGAGGAAACTGAAAAGCAGATTACATCAAAATAAAAGCAAAACCCTCTGATTGTATGTTCTGATTTGAAACATAAGCTGCTTGTGCTTCGCATCTGTCACAGCTGCACATCAGTCTGTGAGGTATAAACGTACTGTTCTGTTCTTAGCTACTTTAAATAAGAATCTGTTGCAATCATGATCCATTTCAAGTCACAGAAATAAGCCAATTTTATATTGTAAAAAAATTTACACATGGAGATAAATATTCCCTCAAGTGTTGAGAAGTCAAATTTGTTCTAATTTCACAAGTTGTTTGTCCACTTACTTCTTGATGTGAACATTGATGGCAACCACATGACAAAGTTTCTTTCCGAGTCAGATGGAATAATCAACACAAAACCCATTAGGTTAGAGGGAGCGACATGCAAACTGAGGTAAGATGCGATGTGTGTGTTGTGTGGGTGTGGTCCCCACCGCATTACAATCCTACTGCATGTGATCATCAGTACTCATGTCTGAGTCAGTGTGTTATGACCAGGCATCACAGGTGAAAGAAAAATAGACTATGTAAACTCCCCTCTACTAAGACTGACATACTGTGTGTGCTCATGAAACAAATGTTTTACAATGTGCAAATCAGTTGAAAAGTTTTTTTTGGAGGGGCTGGTGGGCTGTAAATGTGATAAACAAAATGCTTTGTAGATGAGGAAAAGATGATCACCAACATCTTACTACCATAGAAAGTGTTTTCACATAGCCATGGCTCATTACATTTTCTCTATAGTTTTTATTGTATCTGATCAAGAGGCAAATATTTTTTTCCATTATGTTGTCTCCTAATTTCATCACATCATCATTTCAGTCACTACTGAGCAAAGGGTTTCATATCCTAAGATAAAAGGCTTTAAAAACTGCCAATGACAATGCTCTCCACACACCAACTAGTTTTGAAAACCAGCACTGTGTTGAACCAACACCTCTGAGACTCAGCTCTCACCTCTCTGATGTGTTACGGTCCTATTACTTTTGATTGGATTATATATATGCACTTTGCATACAGGCAAGATGCCATTTTAAAATGCATTATCATCGCTGATACAGCTGGGCACCTCTGACTTTTTTGTCAACTATCATAATAATCACCACTCCCCCTGTGATGCCACCCATCTCCAAGCATTAGTAAGGGTTAATACCTGCTTTAAAGCTGAGCTCATCGGCCTCCTGGCCCACGTAATCATAGAGTGCTTGGACTCGCCCCGCCTCTACCTGCTCCTCATTGTCCTCCGCCTCCCCTACACCGTTCACTGCCAGCACTTTCTTAGGGCTTTCCTCATCTGACCAGTCTGAAGAATAATCTTTCACCCTGAGAGGAGAGAGAAAACCACACAGAAAAATTAATTTAAATAAACCATTAGTATATATAAAATTTCTTTATAGAAGAATTATTTACTTGACATTCCTTATCAATGTTGACAATTCTGAATCAATATGTTTGATATACAAGATGCATTTATATTGATTTTGTCCTCATGTCCTTGTGGACTGAAATCAAACCATGGCTAGCTTTGTACTTTATCTCCTGTACAGTATGTGCCTGCAAATGGTAATCATTTCTGATTTAAGAAGTAAAAATCCTTGTGTGTTTAACACAGTTGTACTACTGACTCAAAAAAATTATTTTTGATATGAAGTCATAAGATAGTTAGATTTTTTGTGGCTTTTTGTTTGTATCCATTTTATACCGTAAGGCACAACTGCAAAGAGGCAACGAAAACTAAATTTATAAGCACAAAATATGATAAACTGGAACAACATTCTCAGATTTGCTCAACCAAGGTTTGTTGCTTCTTGGCTGCTTTTGAATGTTTTACTCATTTCCCCTGGTTACTGTTCATCACATGTAGCCTTTAAAACTTAATGTGTCCCAGTGAGATGTTGTAAATAAACTGCCAGAGACTCTGCAGCTGCGTCACACATCTCTTGGCAACCATGGCTGTCGTCATCTTAAATGCTCGGTGGAGAACAGAGTGCGTGGAAATGTCTGAGTGGTCACTTGAGCTCACACAGGCAGACAACTCTGTTTGGAAACTGGTTCATTCGGACGGAATAACAGACAAGCAGGAAGCTGTGAATGGCTGCAAAGAAAGTCACTACAGCTGCCCAAATCCATTCCTGTTTCTACCTATTCTTCCCCATTTTATTTGACTGTAGACTACATACAGCGGTACCATCACAAATTCCCTTGCATTTGTTGCTTTTGAGGAAACATGGTGCTAGGAAAGTGTGACCAGTGACTACATCAGTTACAAAGTCTAACTCACACACAGCAAGCTTTCTCACTACTAATTATGGTGAGTGAGTGTTATGTACAGGATGTTGACTCCTCAGGGTGACTACAAGGTAACAATTTAAAACTACACACTGCCCCGTTTTTGCCACAAACACACAGGTGGCTCAAAGTCAGATGACTGTAGACTTGTGCATGCCATTTTGAAATGATACAAAAAAAAATCAGCACACATTTTTTAAAATAGACCAGTTCATGTGCATGTTATGGCTCTGTTTGGAACCATTGATTTTCACTTGGAGAGGTAATGTAACATTTTGTGGATAATAAAAGTAGGCGCTGAGTCCAGTCTTAGAAGGAAGCATGGTAATAAAGACTGTCATAGGCGTCTTTCTACCTGCCAGTGTCCACGGTGATGGGACTTGGTGGGACATCGTCTCCACCCGAGGAGACAATGTTGGTGAGGGTGACCACGTTCTCCTCAGAGTGTCCACCTCGTTCCTTGCTGCTGATGGTGCGATTTGCCTCTGGAGACCACTCCTGTGTGCAGACACACACACACAG